CCCCAAAACCCCAAAACCCCAAAACCCCAGAATACAATTATTATGGTATAAAATTAAAATGATAGAAGTAATTAATCAAATTATATTCATTTAATAGGCACGAGCAGCATACCTTCTAGATACCACTAATACTTATAGCCATCTTTATTGTTTGTAAACTTTATTGTAACTTCAAATCTAGAATCAATATCATTTATGTTTGCAATTAAATCAATTTTTGTAATAGGAGTCTGATTAATTTCTCCTCTTTTCATGCCGAAAAATATATCGAAATTCATGAATTTCTCCTTAAAAATAATACCTCTTTCATGTTTAGTTTCTTTTTCACTATTTCTTTTAATGAATTCAACTGCTGAAATCTCAAGATATACTTGTTCAAACATATTAGATTCATTATCAAGTCCATGCAATAAAATTACTTGATACTTTCCAGGCAAAATACTTTCCCCTATGACCAATAAATTTATTTCACTTCTATATCATATTCCCAAGATCAGTTGATTAAACACACTTCTTTCGTATTCTCTCAATGAATACGTCTATGTATTTGTATCCAAATCTTCTTTATTACAAGTAGCTTGAACAAAGTATATTAATCTCTTATCTTTCTTTGAAAATCAAAGGTATGTTGACTAGGTTTCTTTTGTAATAAAAAATTCTGAATCTTCTTAGAACTCTCCCAATGATTTGTATTTATTCAAAGATTAAACTTCTATATTCCAATAATTAGCAATAAATTGCTTTAAAAATGGAAACTAAACCCCAATATTTTCCTTTAAAAATTTGCTCCCTAACTTGAATAATTTTAGTACCTATGTAAAAACATAATTATTTAAAGGCTATTACTTTAATGAGATCTGAAGCAGATAGCAAAAGAATAATTTCATTCAGGAAGATATACTTATGATTCAAGATTAATTTAGAAAGGATATTTGCATTTTTGTTTTTGTTCATTTTTAATTAAAATAGTTAACTTAATTGAATAGTGAAAGCTATAGCGGGGTTTTGGGGTTTTGGGGTTTTGGGG